AAAAGTTTGGGAACCGCTGACTATCCTACAAAATCAGAGTTTCGTCTTTAATGGGTAATGGATTTCGTCTCTACGCATGGGTAATAGCTTAGGTATACGTTAAGTTAATAAATCATAGTATCACTTAAAACTGTTTGGGACGATTTCTGGTTCTTGCCCAAAGTACATATTAGTAAAGGTCGTTTGAAATTTTTGTCATGGCGACTCACAACCATATCGCTCTATGTACGCTCCTGCCAAAAGCGAAACAATGATCCCCTTCCTAACATTGATATATATTGGGTAATACAGTATATTCTACTTTTGACGTTATGTTTTTCAACACATTCCACCTGAAACAATAAAAATCAGCTAGTCGAATTATTGGAATTTGATTAGCATGAGATTTTCTATGAGTTTAGTTTCATGACGTCTATTGTAACACAGCAGTGGTACCGAACCAATGCGAGCAAATCCAACCACTGTGCACAGTCGTACCCAGTGTTGGCAACTTAGACAGATTTTAATAAACGGCACTGTGACATATATATATCTCTGAGTTTTGAATTAATTAAATCGATATCTTACCTTATTTTTTATATATATTTAGTCAAAATATGAAAAACATCAGCTGCTCATGTTTCATTTTTATCTAGTGCATGTCATCTTAATGCGCCGGGCACGCGCACTGCTATCGCGTGACTGCCAACACCACAGCTGAACTTGATCATCTACTGAGTAGTCTTACTATCCCGTCAAAAAATTGTTGACTTGGCGAAAAACATTCTTCAAAGATTGTTTTTTACCAGGGGTGCAAAACCTTTTTGCTATTGGCGGCCACATTGCATTTATTTTTATTCAATACGGCCTCCCGGGGGTTGATGAGCGCGCCATTTTTTTGTGTGGGTGGCTTTTATGACGTCATAACCACGTATTTGACCCATGCGAGGTGCAGTCTGCCCAATTATGAAGTATTTAGGACTACTTGGAAGTATAATATTCGCATTTTAAACGGATTTTTCCTTTCAGTGGACCTATTCTTGAGCAGATATATAGCAGCAAGTTGCATAATGGTTGCACTATTTTGAAAAAAATCGAAAGTCGGGGAGGGGGGAAGGGGCGGTCGCGAAGATGAACAAGGGCGTGCTCATGAATATCGAAGGGTGGTTGAGAAAGAAATGCTGCTATATGAGACAAGCAGGGAGAGGCTAAAAACGGGAAAGTTGCATGACGCACTAAAAACAATCAAACCTATACGTCAGTTGAGGCTGGGCGTGCATTTTCGGCTCTTGGGTTTCTTGCTCACTGTTTTTGCGTCGGTTTTAAAAAAATAAACATAACTGCTCATAATATTTTGTGTGTGTGTGTGTGTGTTTCATTTTATTAATCCCGGAATTAGATGGTGAAAATCCCAACCACGGGTTTTCCAATCTGGTCCCGAAATAGCAACCATGCCTCTCAGTCGTCCTTCCATACCTGCCGTTGACAGCAAACAAAACTAGTGTAAGACAGTATACCTAAAGTTCTTTACTTGCCTTATTACAATATCGAAACTATTGTGCGTCTTTGCACGGCACAGAGTCTCTTGAGATTTTTACGGGCTCGGCGAGTATACTATTCGTGAATTCGCTACAATTGTCTTTTGTACGAACCTGAACGTTTGGTTTTCACAATGACCGCCACTCGGGTATTTTATCTGCAAAATTGTATTCACATTGTGATATGATTTCGTGATAGTTTTACTGTGTGTTTTTTTTTGTTTCTTATCTGGTGGTGATATTGTAGTACTGGGATATGCATCTAGACTAGAGCTGCGTCCTAATACTTCGTTTCTGATCCCAGAATTTCGACTCATCATTATTTTAGTCGCGATATCGATATTTGTTTTGATGAAATAAATTCAAAACCCTAATTCAGGCAATTCATCGACTTTTACGCCCATTTTGGACAATTATATACAATTCCATTACTAAAACCAGCGAAGGTGAATTCTATCGACACAAGAAAGCGAATGAGCTTTCAATGTAAGCGAGTTTTCCAGGGAGCGATCGACCACACGGTCATCCGAGTCCACTCCCCCCATATTCACTGTTATGCACAGGGTTCACAGTTTGTTGGATGACTATATAGGAGCATTCAACACTTTTATTCAATTATGAAAAGATAAGCAAGCATAAATTCGACAAACAAATAACTGGAGCAAAGGACTTCAGTATATATTTGAGTCACAGGTTAAAGATCTCGGGTTTAACTTTTAAGTTCGAGTTGTTATTATGCTTAATGATTTTTCAACTTTAATACCGTGTTTCCCTGAAAATAAGACTGGGACCTATTTCAGTTTCACCCGCAAAATAACACTAGGGCTTATTTTTGGGGGATGTCTTATATTTTCATTTATCAAAAACAAAATTACAAAGTAGAAAATTAATGACGAGATTTTAAAATATACAAAATATGAAAACCGATATCTATTTACTTAATAACACGTTTTTATTCAAAATAACTGCAAAACATAGATCATTAATCATTTAAAACGTGTAGGAGAGATTTCTTGCTATTTAACAGGTCAAAAAAAAATTCGCGTTTTTGACTAGGTCCGGGGAGCGCTTATATTCAAATCATTTTTCAAAATTGAGGCTAGTTCCTATTCTCAGGGTAAGTCTTATTTTTGAAGAAACACGGTAAACCCAGTGACCTTTTTTGTATGATTTGACCATTCATTGTTCATGTGGCGTTAAATATACTGAATGAGACATTTATTTGGTACACGGGGTGTCAAATTCACCTTGTTGAAATTGTCATTGGTACTTAATTTCATGTGCTTGCTGTAAAAATCAAAGTAAGTACCTTAATATGGGCCGCATATGCCACTATGCCGCCAGAATATTTGGCTTCGTATGAAAATACGAAGACTTTAATGACACCAAATGGTGATATCGTTACCCAGTCAGTTACTGCTAGGCCGCGAGACGAGGTCGTTTATATTTCGTTTCGTAGCGCACATAGGGGAACTACCTGAAAATGATTTTGAAATGTTCCTCAGAAATTTAGTAACAAATAATGCCATTTCCAAAAGTTGTCACGTACGGCAGCAATTTCCTTGTTGTGGGAGCATGAAGTTGAGTTGATTTAGCAGTTCGTCAATACTCTATTTATTGAATCTTCCGTTCTCACGTACATTTTAGTTCCCAAATTGTTTTAATTATTTTTGCTGGTTTACTTCTGTATTGTTTGACTTAATCTGCCTCTATAATGGTGTCGCTGACATGAGGACCTTTGATTGTCTTTTCGCGATTTTTTCTTTCAATGAATTTATTTAATTTTTACCATTTGTTTAAATGTACGATGTTTTTGCAAGACAAAAAATAAATATCTGTATCTGTCTGTGAGGTGAGAAATCAAGTTGTAGACGGACAGTTGGTGTTTTAAAATATAGTCTATAGGCATTTCAGACTGTGATATATCGAAATCCAGAGTAGATATATCTAGTATGCAAACACTGCAGGACTGAAGTACATCCAATGAGCATATATACGCTCATTGAGTACATCAGATAAAATTCATAATGTATATATGAAAAGTATTAGTCAGTATTTAGTGGTATTTTTACACTCAAGCTGTTCCAAATCTGATTTTCTTTCTAATTTTAGATACTGTACTACAAAAGAAAACGGCAATGTTTTTCATTTTCAACTCATTTTCAAGGCCTCTTCTCACGGCCTATATCCATGGTAGAGGAATATGAAACAAACCAAGGCAGCAGAAAAGGCCAGTAAGAAAACACGAAAGAAGTGACTGGAAACATCTAGCGTCCTTCAACAGCCTGAATCAAAAATTTGTTACACCTTTTAACAACGTCTTAGCATAACTTAACTAATAATAATATTAAATAAGAAGGGCGATGGAAAAGAACGCAAGATCGAGCAGTAATAACTGAAATTCATCCGCTTGCTTACAGCTGATCAAATTTAATTGTTACGTCATACAGAAGTCTGCGTTCATTGGTCAATGTTGCCGGAAAAGTAGAGAATATAGGATCGATCGTAGCACATATTTTTGGTAGTGAAAGCGTCCTTTTCGTAAAACGTGCAACTTTTGGAAACGGAAACAAGGTATTATTTGTTACTGAATTTCTGACGAACATTTTAGAATTATTTCCAGGTAGTTCCCTTATGTGCGCTACGAAACTCATTTCCTCGTCTCACGGCCAACTGCCTCACGGCCTGTGGAAAAGTTTTTTTTATTTTTATCTTTATATATGTACGTGTATTGTACGTAGTAGTATATATTTACGATTGTACCGCATGTTGTCTTTCCGGGCTAATAAATGAAAAAAATTAAAATTTCGTTGTCTCTCTATCGCTAACATGCGGTTCTGTTGCGGGGATTCCCCTTGACGATAAGTTATGTAAATGCAGAAATGCCAGCGGTTTTTTTATGCGACTGTTTTGTAAAAAAAAAAAAAAAAATGAGATATTTGTACCTTGTGATTGCGTGTAGACGACTAAGTCGGTAAGTAACAAAGCTAGAAAAGATTTGGCCATTCTACCAGTAGTACCAAGTTTATTTCCACAACTTGAGTTAACCATTGTGCTGAGATTTTTTCTTTTAACAGCAATAGCATCAGGGTTATCATTTTTCACTTATGTCAGAGACATTTAAAACATAAATAAATAACATAAAAATAAAAGAACAATCTTTTTACATGAACATTGCACTTTATTGGCAGCGCATGTACCGTACTGTGTAGCTGCCTGCAAAATCAAACATGTCAAATGGGAGCCCAATATGTACGGTACCGGTAACTGTGTCATCTACAACTGTACAAGGGGGTCATTCAAACGGGTCCATATCACCATTCCTAGACCTTACCTGATTGAGATATGATTGTTTATATATTATTGTAATTGGACTTCTTCTATCTGTCTATACTTGTACAGCAATATATGTTACCTAGCATGCTTCTGATTTCCTGAACTTGTTTTGTAACTTCAAAAATATTTCAACAACAAAATAATTGACGAGAACAAATGAATAAACTGATTACAAAATCAGGCTAGCAAACAAAACCCTGCAGCCCTGAGTGAGTTTTAAAATGTACAGAATTTAAATTGAAAGGTGTTGCCAAAGAAGTGGTCTGTATACTGGTATGTCTGTATGTATGTCTGTTACCTAAAAGTAAAATTGTAAAAGTATTACTGTATTAAATGAATTCATACATACTCCAGAAATAATGCTGAATTACTTAGTACATGTAGTGAATAAAAGGAAAACTAGATTATGTAACATTCGTTACCCTATTATCGCCACTCGCCAATTTTCGCCACACGCCTTTAGAATCGCCCTGCTGCAGTCGCACTTTCAGATAGCGCTGAATATGAGTTGTTTTCGGATTGCGACGTCATAAGTGATAAATATTAAACATATTCTGTCACCCGGTGGCGTAAAGACATTTCAATAAAAACATACATTTTTGTAAAATGTAAAAATCAGCTGATATCACGCTTGGCCAACTTTTTGGGAGGGCGGTAATTACTAATTAACAGCCCAAAATGGCGTGACAGTGTTTATTTATTTTAGTTTTTGTCAGTCAGTGTTAGATCGACGTTGAATCAAGTTTGAAATGGGAAGTGTTTGTAAATATCGTGCTGTTGTTAATTATTGTATCCGCAGAAAATTTTGGCTCGCCAAAAAGGAGAACCGGAAAAATCGTGAAAAAACAAAACAGCAATGCTCAATAATGTGAGGACAAACACTAAAAAGAAGTGTTATCAAATCTTTAACAGTAACGGTAGTCTCATTTAATAAAAAAAACTCCCGATTTCGCTGACCGCCAGATCGCCGAACCACCATGCTACGATGCGCAATTTTTTAATTTTGATGACGTCATCATATATAACTTTGAAGTGAAAAACAAATCTCGTAGGGCCTACATAAATGTTTGAAATAAATAAAAGTAATAACCTTCTAGCAGCAGCAACACTCTTTAATCATTGAAAATTTCAGAGCAAATGATTAGATATGTATTTAAAGAGAAAAGCTATTGAAAAAAAAGTTTGACATAAGTGGCGATAATAGGATGATCGTAGTTCCTATTATCGCCATACCCACATTTCCACTATATTCGTGAGGTGTCGCCATAGCAAATTCATTTCGCGACTCGCTGCTGTCGGCATTTTTTCCTCCCATCGGTAGCTAATGTTCAGAGACAATATAGAGAAATTATTACCAGAAGTAGATAGACTTCGGATGGATTGTAATAAAAAGTGGCGATAATAGGGTAACGTACGTTAACTTTTCATTTATTTTTCCATACCTGGTAGTTAGAATAATTTAATTGACTCTGAAGTCTGAAAGTGTTTCACCAGCTATGGAAGAGGCTGATAGAGCTCTAGCATTAGCGCTACAGGAAGAATATGATAAAGAATATGCCAATCCTGGTGATGAATATGATCAGTATGATACACAAATGATAAACAACAATGTTCTTCAATCGAAAAAGTTTCATGATGGCAAGGAAAAGCCAAAATCAATTGTTGATCCTTCATGGGAACTTCTTGATCCAAGCCCTGATGTCCGTGTGATGTTTCAAGAATTTAATGCCATGTATTTCTGGAGTAAATTAAGCATGGTTGAAGTTCGATGGAGTCCGAGAATGACATTGTAAGTTTTCTCAAATGTTCTTTTATCAACCTGTTGTCTGGCGTTAGTAGTTTTAATTAGTAAGGATTCATTAATATCTCATACTTTTAAGTTATAAACTGAAATGGGATCATGCTTAAATAAACAATTTGTTTGAAACAGTCTTTAACTTAATGTGTTGAAATTTTAGATGTGCTGGGTTGTGTTGTTACGAAGGTAGAGGAGGTCTATGTTCTATCAGGTTGAGTAAACCGTTACTTCAACTCAGACCAAGAAAAGATCTTGTTGAAACTTTATTGGTGAGACTCGTTCTTATCCATTTTCTTAGAAAGTTGGAAATGTTAAAATTATGTGTAAAAGGATTGCAGAACTCCGTCGTAGGGTGGTTCACATAATCAGGCGAGAGGCCATGGTGTATCATATAATTGAGCCGCATTTTTCCCCCCTGAGATATAAATTTCATTCTGTATTCATTTGAATCAAGTATTACATATATGTTACCATATGAGAGAGAAAATTATTTTGTTATTCAGTTGAAGGTTCCCGATGTTGACAGAGATTTGTTCGGAAGGCTTATTCGGAAATTGACACAACTAGCTTGGCATAAATTTTTCATGTTTTCAATCCAAGTGGCCACATAACACGAGTAGCTGCTTGTTTAGTTTCTCACATGGTAGGACTGAAACACTTCATTTATTTTAGCATGAAATGATACATGCATTGCTGTTTGTCACTGATAATAACAAAGATCACGATGGACATGGGCCGGAATTTTGTAAACATATGTACAGAATTAACAAAGAAACTGGTACAAATATAACAGTGAGTATAATTGGAAAGAACCTGAATTTTTTGTTTGCCGGATTTTGTATGGTTTGTGATCTTGAAAAGTACATATAATTTTCATTTCATGTATCTCATCAACTATGTTAATAGACTTGTAAATAAGCTTGGGATGATACTCCAGGGTTTTGGTATTTTTTATTTTCAATACCACCTTTTACAATTGTTTCAATTGCCTACCATATTTAATTAAAATTGTAAGTGCTATTTGTCAAAAAGCACACCAAATTTACATCCAATTTTAACAATCATGTGAACATTTTAATTTAACATACAGTAGTTTCTTCAATTACATAATTATATATTACAAACAAAAGTAAAAATTTTAGCAATTACTATAATTCATTTTGAACTTCATTGCTGCTATGTCTATTTCAAAGTTTCTCTTTTTTTTCACAGATTTATCATAATTTTCACGATGAAGTTGATCAATTGCGTCAGCATTGGTGGAGATGCCAAGGATCGTGCCGTACGAAACCACCCTATTTTGGTTTTGTCAAACGTTCAATGAATAGAGCCCCATCACCAAGGTTAGTTTGCTGGATCATATTCATTTCAAGAACTGCTTGCTTATAGAGAATTATCTCTGAAATTGCCACTGCCAACTGAACCCACTAAAAACCATACTTATTTACAATGACCTAACGGTCAAAGTGTAAGACTGTAATGATAGTAGCCCCTTTTATATGTTTGAAGTTACATATCAGTGGCCATTTTTATAGGGTCTCTCGTTCGGGGTATGTGGCGTGAATAAACATCATGTAATAACAAAAAATTCAGATAATAAACAAATAATAAATCGTATCAACTGGTTCATGTAGAAAACCCCATGTTAGGGTTATGTGATTTCTGTGTTATACTTTTTCTGCATAGCTACCCATATGCTAATGAATAACCAAAATGAAATCAGCAATTCATTTTTTAATATATTGAATCTCTATAAGTGATACTTTAATACCTATTTTTCTGAAAGAGATACTTGGTGGCCAAGACATCAAATGACGTGTGGAGGAACATATATCAAGGTGAAAGAACCTGAAAATTTTGGGAAGAAAAAAGAAAAAAAGGAGAAACCCAAAGAAAAAGGTAAATTGAATTTCAAAATTCAGGATTGATTGAACAGATAGAACTTCTTGAATTATTTCAACTGCGATGAAAAGGATGTGTAATAAATATAACAACTTCTAACTAAAGTTATTTCGAATGACTGGAAAAAATGATGACATTTTTCAGAATAGTAATGGTGGTTTGCACTGTGATAAATTTTTTTCTAGTAGAGTATTTCCTATGAGAGTTATGACTCAATAATTTGCAAAGAAGTGCATAGATAATAATTGAAAAAATGACTCGTCATTGATTATCAGATCAAGTCATTGTATTTATCCCAGAGAAAAAAATGCTTTTGGTAAGGCAAGGTTCGCATGCTCTTTGTGTTACTAGTTTTTTGGGGGAATGGAAATAATGTGCCGGTTCAACTTCATGTATGACCGTCTTACGATCATGTACCAACCACACTTATTGCTTGGTCTTTTCATTTACTTCTGTTCAGACTGTTTATTTAATTTACTTTATAAACACTCGGATGTCTTTTTAGAAATCACATCGTTTTTGTCACAACAAACTAAGAAAGGTAAAGAACTACGAGACTCTGTTGAACAAACAAATCCTGTAGTGCAGTCAAGATCTAACGATACTGGTGAATCTTCTAAAACTGGCAATCGCTTGGGAGGCCAAATTTATCAAAAAGATAATAGTGGTCGTGGGATACTAGCATACAGTAGATTACTTTCTAAATTTGACAATAAGGATACTAATAATACCAAATTAAATTCTAATATTAATTTGCTGGAGAGTCCAACAACGGATAAAAAGCAACCCAGTTTGGAAGATAGATGGGGAAACTTACTTTCAGGGAAACGAAAAAACATTGTTAACAATCGTGTGGTTCCAAAAAAGAAAGCAAAGGATGAAATAACAATACCCGAATTGCTAGAGAGAATGAAGCGAAAAGGAAAAAAGTCTGTTAATGCGGGTGCTCCAGCTTTTGTTTGCACTCCGGCACTGACAAGTTACAGCAAACGGGCTATCCATTTTCATGATAGCCAAGAAGAACGTGAGAATTCACAGTCTGATAAAGAGAATATTAATGTAAAAATTCACCCTGTGAAACGTGCAAACACCATCGGAGTTGAAGACGATAAAAAAAATATCCTATTTGTTAAAAAAGAATCTACGGATGTAGGAAATAATGACATTTTAAAAACGAGTCATAAAAACAAAAATAAGGTTAATCTTCCTTCATTCGACAGTGACAGCGATGAAGAATGTTCTCTTACAGATGTTCTGAACAGAAGTAAGAGACAGGATGGATCGACATCTGCTTTATTACGTTCAAAAATCGCTATCATTTCTGACGATGATGATGATGACTTACCTGAAATAGAATTTTCGTTCAGTCAGGTTTTCGGTAGCAATGATGATTCACAAGGAGATGTTGCAGAAGCGTCAACTTTAAAAAACGATGCTGTTACAAGGATAAAAAGTGGAAGTCTCTCAAAACGGCTCCCATCTTTGAGTGAGAGTGATGACAGTGAGACTATGGTAGGAAACATGCTGAAAAAACCTGCCAATAAAAAGTTGAAAATAGATGACAATCCATGTGGTACTGAAAATATTAATCCTAATTTGGTATTTAGCTCTGAGCCTGTAATCGATACAGCTCCTTGTCCTATTTGTTGCAATGAAGTTCCAATCAGTACAATTAACTCTCATATTGATGAATGCTTGTCTTTAAAAGCGATAAGAGATTCTGCATTCGATTAAACAGTGTGCTTTATATTAAAAGATTCATATTTTTTGCAGAACACAATGATGTACTGATTAGGCCCTTTTCTCGCCTATTGATATTTACGTCATTATTCTAGTTGAAAATTTCTGGTTCTGGGTTTTTGTTAGTATTGTACCGATCTTTTACCCATGACCTTATTCCAGTTGTATTAAATTGAGTAGATTATGCTTTCTGAAAATACTTCGTTTAATTCAGACTAATTAGCGCGTTGCTTGTAAAAATATTTTCTGCAAGAATCGTTGATTAGCTAGATGACTTTTAAATTCGTTGTTTGTGTTGACTTTTATGGTACATGCATTGTGTATCTTCGTGAAGTATTGAAAATCAGGTTTAGTTATGTATGCTATCTATAGTTATATATTTTATAGATAATAATACAATACTATAACTATTTTAATTACCTCAAAACTTTACAAAAATTTCTGTAAATTGTTGAAATATTTATTATCCCTTATTTTTTAGTCAATCGTCATTCCAAGATTTTTATAGAATTATGTTTCACATCTGTGCTGTTATGAAGAACCATATATATCGATTTATTACTAGGCAAACATCATTCTAGAACGCGTCCAGAAGTTTGGAAATGAACATTTTTGCTCTATACCATTGTTAATACTTTCTTGATATGCACTTCAGTGGTTTAATTTTTGTACATGTCCTCAAATAATGTTGTCAAAAACTGAAAATGTTTAATTTTTGTATATTTTATATACAATATTCTTAAATTTTATTTCTCCTTATAAATTAATACAGTTATAGTCATTGCTGCTTGTGAAAATTGTTAGTCTTGTTCCAAAATGAATAAGAATGTCGTATCAGCCACCATTTCTTTATAGCTTTTCTGACGCACTTTGTGGTCTATAATCTGTGCAATATGGTTTCATTACATTGTGACTATTTTACCTGCAGTCTTACTTACCATTATTCAGGAAAGTTACAGTACTCTTCTCAATAGCATTCAATTTTTCATTCACCTTGTTTATTCGTGCACATAACCATTTCGTTTCTTCTTCGTTTTTCGTTCTCTGTTGTTTCACGTCTGCATTTTATGCAATATTCATGATGTTGTGCGTCTTCTTTTTCGTACGTGGGAGAAAGTCAGCTTTTTATGTTTGGAAGGGCGTAAAACGGTGATTTTTCATCTTGAATATACAGGTTGGCCCAGCCTGTACAAAACAAATTCTCGGTTTGAGATATCAAGATGTGCCCTGCAGAGGTTTGCCAATTTCATCTTAATGGGCAACGAACGTTTATGTGAATCTTTGAGCAAACGTGGTATCGCGTGTTATTAGACAATGCAGGACGTTCATTACAATTTATACCGTACCTCGGGAAGCATTACACTGTTGAATGACGAGTGTCATCGCCCCGTTGCAAAACCTATCCCATAAGATTTACAACAAAAACTACGTCTGCTAGCGAAAACGTTCACTTTGCGGGTATCGCTATCTTACTGACGCGGTGCACGTGCATATAGCATAAAGTCGATTACAATGAAACAACAACCCGATTAACAATCACAAAATACATCAAAAAACAAATGGTAAATTTAATTAAATGTGTCGCCGATCCTTGTAAACTGCATGTAGAAACAGTTTTCTGCCCCGTCCATTTCGACATGCTGTTGACGCTATGTTGGGAACCGTTTTTGGTTACCATTTCAAACCATGATTTTTCTGAAATATGGTTATAACATTTCCGGGAAGTATGAGGGATTATTATTTTATAAAAATGTTTTAAAATTGTACATATGACTTCGGAAACATGCATGTTTGTAACGGTCGGTGCGGCTGGCCAAATACTCTAATTATTTTTGTAAGTGTAATTACGCGTCGGATGCGGAGTCGGCACTACATGCATGATAATTAGATGAATTATGCATATATGTATGTTTGCGTAAATCGTGTACACACGTAGATGTCTTTCAATGCGCAGGTTTATTGTTATTTTATAAGGAGTTCAGGATTATGCTTTCTTCAATCTTGTTGATCTAATAATTGATTTGTTGCATTAATATATTTCTATATTCATGGGATTTTCTTGGAAAACACGCGTATTTGCATAATGGGATTACAAAAGTCACGAGGTATATTGCTGCTAACATAAAGTCAAAAACTGCTGTACAGAACATGATATTGTCAAGCATGTATATTTATACGCCGAAATTCGGTGAATAAATATTTGAAACACCGGACTAACATTCCGGAAGTGTTATCTTTTTTTGGCTAAACTTCGAAACCGCATCTTGAATATTACATGATCCATGTGCGCCGCTTGTTCGCAATTACCTGATTACTAAGTTTGCATGCAAATCCCACCGTGCCGAAAGCTTTACTCCTTCTATTTAATTAATTCCATAAAAAATGCTGATCTGCTCTACAGTTAGAAATTGTGGGTACGCAACCGCCACTTGAAGAGTTTATACTCTCAGTTTATCTTAGTTGGCAATCGTTAGTAAGATAAACAGCGAAAGGTGGGGTAAAAATATGTCACCGACACCGAGGAGGTCATTTTGAACATACTCGATAGAGAACGTAACTTGTGTGTAAAACGTCCTAGATTCCTTAAATTTTGGATACAATCATACACAAATAGAAGTCCAAATGTAAAAAAAATTATATAATTTATTTTATATATATATATTTGTTCGTTTAATATTACAAGCTCAAAAAGAACATTGTATTTCACTCAATTACTCGCATATTGTTTCAAGAACTGGAATCATAAATTTAATAAAATCAATCAATAATGTGTATGTGCAGTAAGTAGACTCATAGAAGTTTTCAGCCCATCGAATTGCCACTTAAATTAATACTTGGGACTCGACGACGATATGACAGTGAAGTATAAATTCAAAAAACGGCATGTAAAAAGGTAGGAGGCATAGCAGGGTGTCATTGAAAAAGACGTTAAGGTCAACATTATTTATATTAACCTTGGATGATGGACTCATATACAGTATATATACCCATAATAGAATGTAATTACATAATGTATTTCACTTCCTTCTTACTGCATGCCAACAAGGTAGTATGTGTCAGAAGAAAAATTAGAGATGGATGAATGACTCCTGATATCTTTTATACAAATTTTCATTCATTTTACTGTAGATATAACAATTTTTGCAAACCTAAAATAGGACGTAGTCTAAGTATATTTCCAACCACAAATTTCCTTTTAGGAGACAACAATATTTTTCTCAAAACCAGATTATATCAATCTGATACAAGCAATTATATGCATTTTTCGTTTATTCACTCATTTCCTCCGCCCCGAAATGTTTTTGAACTTGCTTCAGTTGAAATTTTATCGCGCGTGGTTACGACTGAGGTGAAATACGAGTTCTTGGCTCGAGATATTACCTCGAATGACATTTCATCTTGTTGCAATGCTAAATAAACTGCTAGAGATTATACAATTTACTGTTCTTCGCCAGCTTTTTCGCCTTGTTGATACATCAAATAGAAACCTAAAAAAGTATGGGACTGTTTCCATCGCGTAGCTATTTTTATGTTTTATTTCCAATGTTTTCATAATAAATTGCATATTACGGGACATGAATGACATAAAGTCGCAGTCGCCAAGTGGTTAAACAAAATATCGCATTTTAATTCTCTTAACATTATAACAAACCTAAAGTTTCCATTATCAAAGCCGTATTGCTTTATAAGTAACCGCTAAATGATTTTTCAAATAAACCAAAATTAACTATGCAAAAATCCGAAGCTCGAAGTTGAAAATTTGTTGTCTGCTTTATGCTTTCTCAATAAAATATAATACCATTGAGTATTACTATTTTCGATCTGTTTCTCTATTGAACTTACAGTAAAATTTGAGGGGGTCATCTCTATAACTTTGTTATTGTTTCGGATAAAAATCCTTGTTCCATTCATTTTTAAACTTGTGTACATGATTCATGGTTCTAATTTTATTTTTGATTTTCAAGCTGTACGTTTTTAAATTCTTGGCTTATCATAATTTTTCTCTGAAGAGTATATTATGTAGGTATTGGGTAACGTTAGTCTCATTTGATTTACGTCTCAATTGACGTAACATGAAGGAATTAGGCAGTAGTATAGTAATGAGTTTGAGCCAACTGCAATTAATTTTGAGCCAATTTTATGCGTATTGAGCAAATTTTCGCACAAAATTTGAGGCAGCCCTTTTAGGGCGACCGACGAAAAAGTATCAACTGATATGTTTATACGATTGTTTTACTTCGTGCGTAAGGTTTGGTAATAAACAGTAGCCGGTATATTTCAAACATTTAAACTGCAGGGAACATAAAATGTGAGACACGAATCGCCCGCGCGGATCCTCTTGACGCGTCGATTGTTCACTGGAGATGCTAATATGAGAGAGACGTCGAGTTGCGCGCGCTTTCCAGTTATATACTAGTTCTTATTTTACGCTTCATATAAATCGAAAAGACTTCCGATATGAGCGCTTGCGTGGTACCATATCTCAAATCAGGATCGGCGTTTCGTGGTGCTGGTCATTCATTCATTTTTGTTAGTTATGGACGATTTTTAAGTTGGTGATTATATTCAAGAACAGGTTAACGGATATCTCAAAGTACAATCTAAATGAAATCTAATTACCGGTATCTGCTAAAACTTGTATTTGTTTTGGCTCCTATCAGCTTCAGTTAGTGAGACAGGTTCTAACTGAACATGTTTAATTTCTTCCCTACTTTCCTTTCTTTTAATTTTTATGTTTAATTGGCAGCAGTAAACTCGGGTAGGACCAAAGAGCCCTTAAGACGATCTCACTATAACCGAGCTCGCGAGAGAATAAAGCTGAATGAGGCAGGTTATATTATAATAACGGCTCACAATAAGTAAGCGATAATTTTTGTTTACTTTGTGCGGACATAATGGTCGCTAAAGTTTACTTATGCGTTATGCTGTAATTCAGATACCCGAGTTGTATTGAACTCATTCTCCGAGTGACCGCGGTACAGAAGTGGATCGAGTGAAAGTTATAGAGTGCTATCTTATAAAACTAATATTATATAGCTATGGATTTGTGCTATCTAATTATTCTAATAGGAAAGATCATTATTCAATAATACTGAATGACAAAGTTTGAAAGTTTCAATATGTTTGTTATATGAGACAGTCCCAAGACAGTTGAAATAATGAGCTTGAGATGTTTCTGCTGACATATACATATAGCGTCACTGATGTGTCTGAAGCTTGAAGAATGATATAAATTGCTGTATAAGTTTATCGCAACATGAGATTAATTGCATACAGTTTGTGGTGTGGTTTTCCAAGTGGCGCCAGTTACAAGAAGAGATTTAAACTAGAGTTACGTATAGTCAATTAATAACATATTGGAGATTTGCAAAAATATTTAGCCGTTGTAGATTTTTTAGACATGTGTGATTTCCAGTAAGCAGTGTGAGGAAAAATATATAAATATTTCACCCAGCGTAATTTGCATCCATTGACGTTATCGTCAGTAAAATATGCTTGTCAGTAAAACATTGCCGTTTGTCATATATTGCTTGGTATGGGTCAGTCATAAATTGCGCCAACAAGATACAGTTTAACAATTGATCATACTTGGATCAATAATGAGCATTTAATATGTTCCACCATAAGTGTTACAAATATGCTATCAATTGACAAGCAACCAACCGCACCTAACTTCTCGAGGGTTCTTGTCCAAACAGCAACGTACGAGCTTCGCTGTGCCAGTGCAGTGTCATTTGAAGAACCGAGCGTGTTATGAATATTAATTGAAAGGTTGTAAATACGTGTAAGTCTTAGCTACGTTTCAACTGTATTTGGCCGACGGGGACAATTTTGTTGATATTGACGAAAAATATAGGTTTGCGAGTTTATCGAAAAAACAATGGAACAATTGCAGCATGGTCGAACGAATGGTTTTCATAGGTTTTGGGTATTGATGACTTTAAAGGACGTTTTAGAAATTTATATACAAAGAAGTGGTTTATTCCAGGAATGATAGTTTGTTATAATAACATTTGCTAATGCAGAAACGAAGCGTTATTTATTGTACGTATCAAAACGAGAGCCGACCTTGCTTTATTTT